CCAACCCGGTAGACAACAGCCGCCGGCAGGTCGCCATCTCCAATTTGAACCGTCCTCCGCCCTCCAGGCGATGCCTCAACCTTCCAGTGGGCAGAACCTTCTCCAGAGGCCTAACAGTTTGGCGAGTCAAGGTACCGAACCCCTCTTGTATACTAGTGTCTTTTAGCCAGACTTGTATTATCGCCTACTTTTCGAGGTTTAGAGTGCCCTAGCCTGTACTACAGAGTGTTCTTCTGAGATTGCCGTCAGGAAATACTTATTAAATTAATGACGTCCAGGACCTTGTTCCACATTTTCTCCTGTTTTTGGATATGGCACTACTTCTTATTTTGTCCACGTCGTTTGGTTTCGTTGGAGTCTCCTTGTGCGACATATATTGGTTTAGACCGACCACCAGCCCGCCATATTGGCATCCTATAGTCTCCCATTCTCTCAAAGCCATATGGAAAAGGTTTCTTTTTAATTGTCTAGTGACAAGTGAGATGGCCAAAGTTCACAACATACGGTTTTATGACGCTTATAGGGTAGACCCAGGGCCCCTTGCAGTTTTCGGTGAATTTATAAAGTATGATTACAAGTCCATCCCCTTCTTAGCTTCTCTATCTTTCATCTGCCTGTTTTTCGTTCAGCCATTATGTGGCATAGATAAAAAGCACTTCTCAAACCTTTCTTTTCCCTCTAACGGTTCCGTTGTCGCATCTTAGTAGGTATTTTTCTGCAGTATACTTGCTTAACCAACAGCTCTAGCCTGTCTGCTGGCTCTGTTATCTTTCGTTATTTGGTAATTTGAGCGAGGCCTCTTTCTGGAGGAGATAACCGGATTTGCCATAAAGCTTACCGGTACGTTTCGCACCAATCAGGGTTCTGTCGTCTGAGATTACGATCTCAAGAGTCAGATTCAGTTTCAAGTTATATGACAGACCTTGAAGGCCGGCGGGATGTGCGCTTTTATAACTTCCATATTTACTCAGTTAAAAAAGACTTCGAGCTTGCTCTAAAGGAACCAACCTCTCCAATCTTACTGTATGCGATAGATACTATTCTATCCCAAGAATTCCATCACAAAGGTGTCCATTGGGGATAGCCCCTGACTGTATACTTTTCGCCTCCCACAGATTTTGGCTTTCATCTGAGTTCTGAGCAATTCAAAACACAATTTTAACTCACAAAAATTCTCCCATTTTCAGCAGTGCCTGGACGCTCACGATGACCAACTGTTTCTATAAGTCACGAATGGTCTAATGTCCTGAAGACATTAGCAGCGTGCTCTGAACACCCGTGATCTTGCCGCAGGTGTTCAGCAGAAGTCCGAAGTTCTGAATGGGAATTATATCGTGTGCTTCATAAGGAGCGTGAATAAATGCACAGATAATATGGCCTTCGCATGGTCTTCGCACAGTCCCCAAACAGCTCATGAACGCCAATTTTAAGACCAAAAGTTGTCCTTTCTTAGCGCATGAAATTTGAGTTTTGTGATGACACCCATCTGAACATTAAAGAATACGTGGTTTGCTTCCAAGTGAATACACGTTTCTGCAAGATATATTTGATTTTTGACGGGCGTAGAAGATAGATGAGCAAAATGCCTGATGCTTAGTATTACAAACGAACTTAAGCCATTCTTTCTAATTGAAAACGAACTTTAGCATTTCGGTTAACATTTCCTGAACTCGATTATTGACTGTGAACACTACATTTGCGAATGCGGGCAGCTCCAAAACATTAATCTGAAAATACTGTTTAACGTGGTTGGAGTTCCAGCTAGGGAGTGGGGCTTTTATTAATAGTCACAGACATCACCTTATAGGCTCTCAGATTTTTAAGTTATTGTGTTGTGTTAATGGCTTGCAAACCAGTACTGCTGCACTTTCCTGCAGGTTCTCACGCTGTTATTCTGTACAGGAGCATCATAAACAATGTCAACTTGAGCTTTCATAATGGACCATTAATAAGTTACCGATAATATTTTCATTTATCTGCATATTTAGCGTGTCATTAAGGGTTTTAATTTGATTATGCCTGGCACTAATTTTTTAAAGTACCAACTTTTGTACGGTCAGCGTCGAAAGCAACCTGAATACTACTTCCTAATACTGTGCTTTCCTAGAATGCTCAGCCAGTTTAATGCCTTTTCAGCGTTCTTGCGTGTCTATTCTTAAATTAGACCCTACTCTATTCGCAGTAACCTACTTTTTAGGCCTTTCAGGTAATCACCGTCTCATCCGCCCAGTCCAAGGTTTAGGCTTGATTTTAGCATAAAAGTTATTCTTCTGCATATGTGATCTCATTCTCAGTCGAATTTCGGTTTGTCTACACGTTGTCTTTATCCCAGACAAACAAACCACATTGCATACGTTCAGCGTCCTTGGCTGCACTTCGCTGAGCATGCCTTAGTTCATTTTCTGGTACGTCTTCGGCTTTCAGAGAACTCCTGTCGAACATGCCAGGATTCTGTCATTACGAACATTTGCTCATACCTGCTACTCACCGTGGTCATCTCTGTCAGACTTATGGGGTCTGAGCATATGTATGTTAGACTATCACGATGCGCTAAGTACCCTGGCTTGGAACTTTGCCAACTGATATTAACAATCAGGCCTCGTAGTCAGTCCAAGGTGTGTTTGTGTAGAGTGGTCGACTGGTGATCTGAGAGTCAGGCTGCAATGGCTGCTTCTTAACTTGACCTCTGGCACGTTCACTCATGTGAGATGTGAGCTCCTCAACTCTTTTTTTAAGAAATCCTGTTTGTGCTTGTGGGCCAGGTCGTGTACACAGTGCACAAAGACGAGGTCATTAGATATATCAGCACCTGTACCAAACTCACCGCACTAGGCTACTGACCGTGAGGCAAATTACTTCTTCCAAACAAAGTCTTGCACAGAATATTAGGAGGTGCAGTGGTCATTGCTCTTGTTAGTAGGATACAAGCAGGATAACCATAAGGCGAGTAGCTGGGCTCGAGTATGAATCTGAAACAAATAGAAAATAGTAACTCATGTTCCAGTGATCGTAACTCCTACTCCATACATCCGACTATTAATTTTATCTTTTATTATATACAACGTTTAATCAACTCCAAAATATGCGCATTCTTTTTTATCGGCCTGTCACAGCTTATTCCGCCTGCTACGATGAATATTTCCCTTTACTATTCTGTCTGAACGTATTTTTTAAATCCTTGTTTTAGTGCCTTTGTATGTTCTTCCCTCGATTTAGTATCTGACAGCTAACAACCGTTTTTGCCACTTGTACCTCGTCATGCGAATTTGTGCACATTGAAGCATTTTACGTTAGTCGGAAGCCGGCACGCACTCTGCGAGTCAGGTTTGCCATTAGCCTATTAACGACGCCTGACTCCCCAGCCCGTCTATGTTCCTGTTCCTGTTGTGATTTCAGTGATGCCTACCATGGCGCTTGATTCGGTTACCGGCGAAGCCGATCATCGCTTCAGCGAACTCTTCATGCCCCGTGCGATCGCTCCCTGCGCCTCGCTGGAGTCCCTTTATACCTCCACTTCCATCTCCTCGACTACAGCATCTACTATGCCCAGTCCTCTTGAAACGAGCGTCCCTGCTCCCCTCCCCTCCACTGCCACTGCGCCGACTTCAACCTCGGTCACCGCAATTGGTAACACCTCGGCCTCCACCGGTCTTGTTTTTATGAACGGCAGGCTTGGGGCCGACCCCTTGGGGCCT